ATATGCGTTCATATCGAAAACTGTGATAAAATTATTTCGTTAGTTATCAATGTCCTTGGGATATTATAGCTGAAAACAACACATGAAAAGTGAATCATAATGTAACTTACTACTACTACATGGGCCTAACACATATATAGCGCTAGTCTCATTGCATTCAACGCACTTGCAGTTATTACTAACCTTCAAAAGAGAACTGTTGAAATTTCATGATATTTCACTCATAAGTTTGAGTTATTGTGCCGAGAGTGTCACTACTTTCGTTATTATCAAAACAATGGATCAAAAACAATTTCGTGTTTCAGTTTAACACTGCACTTCTTGATGGGAAAAAATACCGTTGAAGCGAAGCAATGGCTTGAAAAGTGTTATAAGGACTCCGCTCCATCAAAAACAACAATTAAACGTTGGTTTGCTGACTTCAAACGTGGTCGTAGTGACACCAATGATGCAGAACGCAGTGGACGTCCAAATGAGGCAGTAACACCAGAAAAAAAATACACAAAATCGTTTTGAAAGTGAAGTTGCGTGGATTAGCTGACTTAATAAAAGATATCAAAAGAACGTGTTGGCTTTATAGTGCATGAGCATTCGACTCTGTTCAGAGTTGTTGCCGCGCGAGCCCACTGTTGACCAAAAACAAGAACATCTTGATGATTCTGAGCAGTGTTTGGCCATATTCAAACATAACAAACTGGAATTTTTTTGTCGATATGTGACAATGGATGAAACCTGGATACACCGAAATATACATTTTTTCTTTGGAAATTGAGAGATATAATCTCTCAACAGGAGCTATTATCAGCTTACTACGCTTTTTTCCATTCTAACATCTCATATGGAACAATTCTCTGGCGAAATAGTACTAACGCAAATAGGATATTTATGTTGCAAAAAAAGGCTGTAAGGATATTATCTGGGGCTGGTTTCTTAGACTCCTGTAGACCTCAATTCCTTTCGATGTAAATAATGACAGTACCTTGTATTTATCTGTATCAAGTTTTCATAGATATTCATAAAAATTAATCAACATTAAATGTATGTGTGTATATGTGACTTATCTTATTTGTATCTTATTTGTATACATCTAAAAGATCAATAAATTATCAATAGTCAATAGTCATCTCTTTACTCCGGAATGAAAACGATCGTCATATGAGTGCGGAGAGCAACTGATGAACCTCGTCCAAAGGAACCGAAAGCACAATAATCGGCTGAAAAGGTTACCCAACTAGCAATTTTATATTTCATAATGGCTGTGAAAACGTTTCGGAAAAACAAATTATTGTATTTCTCCCAGAAATGTTTTCAATGTGTTTATAAAGCAGCTATAAATAGGAAATTGGCACCGTTTTATAAAACATTATAGTCTTCAATGATATTTTGTAACGCCTTTTGGAAACACTACAAAACAGTATTATAAACATTTCGGCAGTTACAATAAAATTTTTTCTAGCTCTCTTGAAAATTAGTTTCGTAAAGAATTTTATAAAAAAAATGGAAGAAAATAGAAGAGTTTTTTAGTAACATCAAGTAAGCGTTATGGAATATAATGCAGCCTAAAGCGATAATGATGAAATAAAAAAAGTGTTCAAAATGTTTTCTTAAAGGCGTATTGTATTAGACACTAGGAAAATATAATAGATATGTCACCAACTGAAAACTAACAAATAAAAAGGTTGGGGCCATTTCAATAATTTCACTTCTGTACGTATAAAACCGGTAAAGACATTGTTTGTGCTTCAAATATTGATATTTTAACTGCGAATGTAATTTCATTGACAAATATATAGCCTATTATTAGTTAAATTT